TGAGTAGAGCCGCATGCCACCAAACAATCAGCCTTTTCACCGTGTGATTCAAAGAGTGCAGAGCACGCTGGGCCACAAACCGAGAATTTGCGGTTTGGCAGGTGGCCTTCATGGCCAAGCGAAGCTGGAATTCTTGGAGTCGGCTTTCTGAAAGAAATTCCCGTCCAGAAGGGGTTGAGTAACAGATGGTGTACATGTAGCGTATAGTGAAACGTGCACTATGTACTGCATGTTTAAACTCTTCCTTTTCATTCTTTCTACATTTTTGGCTTGACCTATTATTTGATATTTTGGGCCATCTTTTCTTACAACAGAACTTTTGTTTTGGTTCCCATGTCATCCAGGAAAGGTCCCTCCTTGGTACATATACCAGTATATCAACAGGGGTGTGAGAATTCAGCGTTTTTGTACACCTTGTCTGTGCAAAAGTATGGGAATTTTTTTAAATTTCAGCTTTTTTTCCAGCTGTTTTCAGCTTCAATTTTAAGTGGCCATTTACACCCCTGATCAACTTGAGAGTTGCAATTTTTCAGACTACAGGTGTAGTTATACCCTACTTTGTGCCCACACCTGTGCCTCTGTAACAACAAGATGTCATCTTACTAATCTCGATCACATGGATCATTTAAAGTAAAGTGTGTGTTTTCAATTTTTGTTCATTTTCACTCTGTCTGTGTTACATGTATGTCCGACTTTAACATTTTTCTGTTGAATTTAGATTTGCAGTTCAGCAGGGGTACTGGAAGGACCCCTACATCCAATTTCTAGTGAAAGCTGGAGAGAGGAAAGCGCCAGAGATCAACAGAGGTACACGTACGATACATTGTCTACAACACCACTCACAACTTCTGAATCAAAATTATACGCTAATGAACATGTATGCATGATCACTTCACCCTGTTACAGCATTTACAGTTTTACAGAAGCTTTAAAAATGTAACAAGTACCGGTAACTGCGTCACAGGTTACTTTGCAAGAGCAGAGGGTCTTCGCAGTGTCATGAGGCAGTTCTTAAAGCTGACCCACTGTGCCTGTCAGATCATCAACTTGGGGGCTGGATTTGACACCAACTTCTGGCTTCTAAAGGTAATGTACAGATCTCCTACTGTTGGTCCTACAGCCAAAGTAGTAAAATGTACATGTACCATACAAATGGCTACACATTTGTGAATTATATCAGCCTGTGTCCTAAACTCATCCATTCCATACAGGATGAGGGCCTAGAGGCAGACCTCTTTGTGGAGCTGGACATGAGAGCAGTAACCAGTCGAAAGTGTCACATGGTCAGAACCAGAGCAAAGTTGCTGGAACCAGTTCAGGCCAGTCATGGAACTACACCCGTGGTAATTGGTGAGAAATAAAATTTAAATGCAAAAATGGATTTGTATTAAGTCCATACAGAAATTGAAAGAGAGGGTGCAGGCATTTACACAAGTGCTTTAGATTTTTTGGCTATGAAAAAAATTGATTGAAGAGTACAATGTACATGTACCATATTTCTGACGGATTCCTGTGCTAAGTTAATTATGGCAATTTTGACTACCACATACATGTACATGAAGCACATTGTTAGTGTGGGTGATGTGTGCTGTATACTGTTTAAACTTCAAGGCCCAACTTACATTGCACTGCAAGTAATAAATTTTTTCTAACCACCGCAGAAAAATTCTCTGCTATTGGTTAGTGTATTTTATTGGTTAGCATGGAATATTGGCCATGTGCATATACTGTATGTACATGTACAGTACGTGTACATTGTAAATACCGGTATCCCATAACTCTGCCCCTACTGTCTGGGGTTAACACAGAATCTGCAAAGAATGGTGTTAGTTAGGAAAGCCATGAAATTAGGCCCGAATTATAGTATGAAAGCATTTGAACACCACACCTTATATATGTTATAACAGCCTTGTTGTGATATATTATTTTACTATGGTGCTATTGAGTATGAATGGTTTTAATCACAGTGAGAAGAATAATTTCATGAAGTGATAGATGGAATAGTATTTTGGCAAGGATTCCCCAGTCCCAACGTAAGTTTGGAGGGGTCAAGTCTGAAATCAACCAGGGGCATCAACTCAAGCCTTAACTCAGGTTCCGTCTCATTCCGAAAAATCACTCAGAGTGACCTAAAGGATAATGGAGCAGATCCATTGTTGGAAGTATACCACCAATCAAGTTGATTATGATCCGTCAATTGGACAATGCACAAAACCAAGGACACCGAACAGTTGGATTAGGGGTAACCTCGAGCAACAATGGTGATTTGTTACAGGATTTTAACTAGCGCTGAATTGATTCAGTACATGAATTTTGGAATAATTGTATTGGATGAACCTAATGTGACCTCTGCTAACATCTGTGGTCTTGAATTGAGTGTACATGTATTTGCTACATGTGCACACAGCTAATATTACACTGCTTCACTCCAATCAGCAATGCACTGGCTAATGTTGCCTTGCACAACTTTTGTGCAATGCACAAATCAGTGGTGAATTACAGGGTTACTATCATCAGTACATTTCCAGTGTTGGCTAATATGAGACCAGATACCATCGCTGGACCCACTTTGCACAGCACACCTCATTGTCGCACTTCCTAACATCGCATTGCATAGCCCAGTATTACTGTAGTGATACGGTCCACATTCACGAAGCACTACAGCACCATGGGCTCAGCCCAAATCCTTCCCAGTACACCTGCAAGTGAATGGCTAGACCTTACCATCTGTGTTGTGCTACACGGAGACAGTCTGCCTGCACTTACACCTAGAGTGGCATTTACTACACCCTATAGCAACATGCACCAGTGAGGACACCCAAAACTTACATCTACACAGCTCTGCCACCACTTGAAACCTAAACTACACCCATTTTACATTGAGAGCACTTTGTTCCACCCATCCCGCATGTCTCAGGACATGTACAGTACATGTATGCACTTGCAGCAATTATGCATTCCTCATATATATGATCACCGGTCAGGCAATATTGATTTATTCAGGCATTGATTAAATAGCAGTATACCTGAAAGAGTAAGGGTTAAGAGAATTCCATTCCAGAGATGCATTTACATATAGAGTGCATGCTTTGTATGCAGAAGATGCAGAGCTTCACTCAAGGCATTATCACATCATGTGGGCTGACTTGAGAGATCTGAGGCAGGTAGAAGAGAAACTCAGTCAAGTTGGAGTGGATAAAAAGTAAGTAGCAAATCCTAGTGTTAAAAGGAAGAGGGGCAAGCCTTCAGCGAGTCTGATACTGCCATGGTTTGTCACACTCAATGACAATTTTCCCCTTTCCTGCAGTCTGGTTTAGCTAGTTCACATTACTAATACATGTAGATGGTTGTGTCCATTGCTTGTACAGTAGGTAGTGATTCCCCCTTTTTTTGCATATAGATATTACACAAGGTAAAATGTCAGAGGTCATATGACAATGAAATGTTGGTAAATCTCAAGCTGCGTCTGAATTGTTCCGCAGAAAGCAGTTGTCTTTGGGAATAGCTGCATGCATTAGCCAGTGGTTTCCATTTACACATGTATTATTTCCAGCTTTAGCGAAGTCATTAGGACCTGGTCTCTGACTTCATAATTTGAGGGATAGTGAGGCTGTTTTCGGACAAATCTGAAAGCTTATGAAAAGAGTGGTGTTAATTCTAATACAAAATTTTTTACCCAGATCTCCTTCAAACGTTGCTCAAACTCCTTATGTGCTCATATTGTTTCCAATTTCTCACCCAGCAAACCTACCCTGTTCCTGAGTGAATGTGTGCTGGTTTACATGCCAGTGGACAAGTCCAACAGCCTGGTCAAGTGGGTGGCCAGCAACTTTGGTACTACCTTCTTCCTGAACTACGAGCCAGTCAACATGGGGGATCGTTTTGGCCAAGTCATGGTGGCCAACCTGCGCAAGAGGACCTGTGACTTGGCAGGTGTGGAGGCTTGCATGAGCCTTGAGACACAGGTGTGGACTTCATTCAAATCACTTGCCATGCAGCTTGCCTGTCCTTTGCCGACTATTCTTGCTAAAGGCAGGTGTACACGTGTAGATTGTGACACAATCCTACCAAAACAGGTCCAAAACTGTGCTGTTTTACCTGATGAAAAGAGTTTTTTATGACACAAACATGTTCAGCTTGAAATAGTTCAGATCAGTCTAGAGCCAATGATTTTCCGTGATCACGGAAAACGGATGGATTTTGCGGAATCAACACTTTGAAATGGAATCCACTGCTTGAAACAGAACTTGCAAAATTTCCCTCTAAGAATGGCTTAAAAAGTAAAGAAAACTTTCTGCAAAGTACTAAAAAATAAATGCCTACCAAACCCATTTCAAATGCTTGCTTTTAATGAATGAATTATGCTGGAAACTTGCTAAATTGCACCACTCCACCACATGATTGGGTCGTTTTCGCAGCATCAGTGCCGATACTCGTAAGCGTTATGCATGGCGTGCGTGGGCCCCATATGTGCAGCGGCAGCTGGCACAGCAGCGGCACGGTACATTGTGTATACAAACATTGGCCATTCACACGCATGCACCGTACTAGCAATAAAATCAAGAGGCAAACAAGTTCTTACTCACATTTATGACTATTGCACATGTGGGGAGTTTAGTCTGTGAATCCGCATGGACGCCTTGAGACAAGGCTAGTACCGCATGGATAAACAATGAAACCGCGGCAGCGAAACAGAAGACTAATTTCATATTTCTTGCATTAAATGAAACCTAGTAAGCTTGGTGCACCATAGCTGAATGGACCCTCAGAAATGTGCAGTGAAGACTGAAGTTTTCAGTCACAAACATACATTTTAAGGCTCAGATTTAATGTTAACTTTCTGAATTTTGTCACACAACTGCCAAATAAAATGGTGGGTCGATGTCTAACATTAACATATTGTGATCAACGACTGTTAAATGCAAACCCTTACTCTGCGACTTCACTATACATGTACATGTTTGGAATCTGATTTCATACACGAGGAAAGGCACATGCATTGTCTGTTAATTAATCGTAGCAAGTTTTGGCGATCGTGCCCCGGTGGGAAATCAAAGGGTGGGGTGTGCGGTATTTATTGTCTGGATTTTTTAAATTTTTTACTACAGAAATTATAAAAAAAGTTGGAAACATTGCAGAATATTTCCAAACAATATTGTTGCAATTTTGTTTTTTTCTTTTGGGAGGTCGATGTGGTTGGGCAAATGGCTTCCATACATAGTTTAAAACTTACTCTCCTATTTGATGCTTCCGAAGGTATGAAACGGAATTCGAATTTCTGAAGCGGAATTCAGGATTTGGTGAAACGGAAAATACCCATTTTTGAAACGTTTTGGTAGAACTTGCACAGAATACATGTATCTGACTGGCTAACAGCGACTGTCACAACCATGACCGCTTACACTCAGTTTTCCAAGGTATCTTGCAACATACTTTCCTCTTACGTAATTTATCTACCTTGGCTATGAAGGATGCTGTAGCAACATTTACATGCACCATAGCACAAGTTCCCTTCTAAGTGGGAATCAGTTTGAAGAGGAGCTGACACCCATTGATGAACCATTTGTATTTTTATCTTGTGCCTTATTGAGCTGGTATCACAGATTGCGGGGGTATTTTTGATGGGTGGGATATAAGGAGTGATTAATCCTGTTGCAGTGCACAGTACTTCAAAATTCTTATTCTTGGCATGGTTACTACTATTGTGGAACCATTTACTGCCTTTTTCTCCAATTTCAGTTTCTATAACTCTTTCGTCGCTTTATCTCCAAACAAGTCAGAAATATTTAGCAGAGTGCCAACATTTATTTCATACATTTCATGACTTCACTTGGTCCAAAGATAGGTGAAATATTCCTTCATTTCTTCCAGAATCAGATTTAGAGACCTGTTTGGGAAATATATCACGAGTATTGTCCCCCCCCCATGTCTAGAAAGAGCGGTTTCTGTCCAATGGTTGGGAGGGAGCAACAGCCATGGACATGATGACAGTGTATCATAACCTCCCTGGGGAAGAGTTGCAACGCATTGAGCGGCTGGAATTCATGGATGAGAGGGAGCCTTTGCAACAACTGATGGATCATTACTGCATAGCCTGGGCATGGAGGGATGTGAACAAGATTGGTAAGACTGTCAGCAGAAGTTGGAGGCTATGCCATTAACCAGTGCATTGTAAATGGTGTTCACTGACCCTTGTTGATATTTAAATAATACTACACCCTTGCCTTCTTGAGTTAGCCTATTCAACTCTGTGTACTCATTGCCAAAGGCAAGTAAACTTATGGAGAGAGGGCTTTACCGCATACCTCTATAGCAGTACTTCATCTTCTTACATTACAGCACTGTTGAACGATTATTGAACACCCTTCATCTTCTTTGCGTCACCATTGCTCAGGGTCAGTCTGATGCAGTTTCTTGCAACTGTGGTCTGATGTTAGACTTTTTCTCTTGCTTTGGTCCCAACTTTCAGGTCTGGAGTCAGTTGGCTTTAACAGGTGATACTCAGAAACTCACTGAATGAAAAGTGATGCAACCCTGAACAAGTCATGGAGTGAATTAAAGAGACACCTTTTCAGAATTTTCAGTTTAATGCTTGATTTCAGGATTTGTTTTTATTTCAACATGATTTTGAAGCGTTTAGTTGACTCAAATTCTTCTCATTGTGCAGTTCTCATGACAGTTACATCTTACTCTACAGTTGCTTTGAGTCAACAAAATCTGTGTAAACATAACTCAGTACTTTAAATTAAATCACTTTAACTGAAAAGTCGCAAATTCATCAGTGAAAGTTCAAGACAGTAATTTGTTTCAATGTAATTTACATATGTGTCAACAAAATGTAGTGTTGTGGTTAGTATGATGGTATTTGGCTGCATAAGGGTAGATTCAGTATTGCTTCATTTCAAAATGTGAAAATAATAATTCTCAGCATGTCAAAAATTTATGTAGTCAGCATATATTTAATTTCTTTATGTGTTTGTGTGCATAATGATGCATGAGTCGATGTGTTCTACCTTCAGAGTTTTATCAAAGTGTGTGAAAATTCTCAAGCCATGATGCTGTTCATTACTTCAGTTAGCTGCATCTATGTTGAACTTGATTTGGCAGTGCAAATGATTTAACAGCTAAGGCAAAAATGAAGAAGTACGATGTGTTCCTGCTGATAGAAAACTTAAATTGTTTTTAACAGCCAATGCACACATTATATTGTGTAAAGGTCAGTGAACTGTAAAAACTATAATGCGCACTGTAAAGTGCAAACAGCCCTATTAGACCTTCAAATACAAAAAAATGGGGTCCATTTGGGAGGGGTATACTTTTTGCAAATTATGACATCAAATAACATTGTTATACCATGGTCATAGATAGTGAATTTTTATTGGTTGCGAACTGATTACGTGATGCTACAAGTGCGCATCATTCACGCATCAAGCACACTGGCAATGTTGGCAGGCCACAAAGAATGATGGATAACGTTGATCTTTCCCACCAATGATTTTGTGGTGTCTACTGCATTGTAATTGTTTAATCTTGGGTATGAGGGTGGATGACCGCGGTGGTACTACTAGTACTTACCAATTATTGTAGGAGTTGTGCCCTTTGTGGAAGACATTGTATGTTCACAAGTGCTACTTTCTTCACTCTGTCACGACGGAGACCCACGGGTTATTAAACTTCTGTTCGTGCACCCAGCTGTACTCATGGAACATCAGTATGCTCTGATCTCTGTTTCTGCTGCTGTTGCTATTGCTTTTATATAAATTGCTCATGTGGTTGTCTCTTCTGATCTGCTTTTCAATCTTGTCAATCTTGAAATCCAACCAGTTGACAAAAACCCCAGTGCTTTGTGGGTGGAATTTGTATATGTGGGACGTGTTCCTGGGCGATTTTCAAGATTTTCCGTTTTCAAAGAAGAACAGTATACAGTGGTATACTATGTCAAAACAATGACGAATTACCACCATTAATGCCAACTGAAAAATGATGGCAATTCCCAGCAGCTTGGTCTTAAGTTCCTGGAGCAGTCTTTTGCTACAAGGCCCAGCTCGTGTGTCCGATTTCAGGCAACCCCAGCTATGCGCATAAAGCCAACATCTCCGGTACCAGGTACCCCGGCACAGAGTGGTTTTAATGTCAGGTTTCTGTAGAAAACCAGAAATCCTGGATTTTTCCCTCCCCCCCTCAAAAAAACAACATAGGTCAACAAAGGACATCAACATTAATTATTTTCCTTATAATTTAATATCTAATTTGCTGTTCAAGTTTTTCAATTTGTCAAAGTGTTTTAATTTATCATGCTATAAAATATACACATATTACACAAGACCATTCCAGTGTTATTATCTATGACCATGGTATAACCAAAAAATAATTATTGCCTGCTGTGATGGGATCCATGGTGTTTTGTTCATACAATGCTGGCAACAATTGTTAACTAGCACACAGAATATTCGTGGCAGTCCCAATAGTACAAAGTTGCAGTTAGGTTTTTATAAACACTTTAAAAAGTTCTATATTGCAGCTGTTGCAGTAGCTTGAGTTGCATCTACATATTTCAAGTCACATTTAAAACTAGAGGTAGTGGTTGTTACAGAAACAACCACAGAGCTGTTTCTGATTTTGAGTTGTTTAATGGGGAAAAATAAAATAAACAAAAATCAATTCCAAAAATCACAAGATGACGTCATTAATCTGGAATAATTTCTTGTATCAGGGTCTTTGTTGCCTGTAACTTTGACAACGATCAAAGATCTCAAAGTGATCAAAATGGCGGCTTGAAAACATGTACAAAGTCAATGGACTAAAAACACATGCAGAAAAACTGCTCCTTTAAGTTCATGTCACGTGATTTGCGCTTAAACTCTTCCCCCACAGAAGTGTGGGTCGGGGCTCCTAGTGATACTTACCCCTGCCCAGCCTACATATGCAAATTTTCCATGTGCTATTACAATTTGCTGAAAATACTTGACTATGCATGCTGCACCTTGACCCTGCACAATGCATAATACACTGCGATCCCGCCGCCATATGCAGAGTGGGTCGGCGACGGGAGCTGTTGTAGTTACTAAAAGAAAATAGGCGGGCATCGCTCAAGCGAACACACACCAGAAGAAAGAAATGTCTATGATGAAGTATTCACTGTCCGGCCCGGGGCAGTGCTGGGCACTGTCCGGAACACCGAGCGCAAGGTTGCTGAGCCAAGGGCTATTTTGCTCTGCAGAACATCCTGCAGATAGCATTCGGTGAGGGGGATCTCCAGCAAGCCGCCTGGTGGATTTCTGCCAGAGGAACTCCTCTAAAGTATGACCAGGACGCGGAAGTGGCCGAAATATCGAGGGCCCTGACGCGAGATCAGGTCATCTCGTCATGTCATGCCGGCCAGTCTCGGTTCGCGAAGATGATGGCCGAGACCGTCCATTGGGCAATAGTGTCCTTTGACGCTGAATGGAAGGGTTATGTCGTAGTGATGAAGAGCCGAGAGCTAGACTCTCGGCGACGCTTGGTCCTGGCAAGGTACCACTTGAGGGTGTGGACTGGACACCATATCTTGTCAAAGTCACCTCCCGAAAGTGAGGCTGTCGGGAACGAAGATGTCGAGAGGCCGGAAGGTAGGCGTCTGGCTTTCCGTCAAAAACTTGTAAGGCAAACCCAATGCGGCTCCCAGTAGATGCGACCTTCGGAATTTGATGCTGAGATTGCGATTAGATGCATCAGAAATCCGCTGGAAGGGAGGACCGATAAGAACACGTGAGCCGCTTCCAAGGTCCCAGGACATGTAAATAGATGCTGAAGTATTCGTAATAAGGAAAGAAAAGTGAGCCCTGTTACAATGTACTGTGTTCGATGTGGCCATATGTATCCTGAAGTTGGAAGACTACAGCCATATCATTACGTGCACAGGGAATTAAGATCATTCTGTATGCACTGCAAAAATTCCTTTCCCAGGTGGAGTGGGTCTCCTAGCGATACTTACCCCTGCCCAGCCTACATATGCAAATTTCCCAAGTGCCATTACAATTCGCTGAAAAGACTTTATTATGTATTCTGCCCCTTGACCCTCTACAATGCATTGCGGTCCCGCCGCCATGGTCGTCCTTCTTTTCTCAGCGCCTTGAGGGTCAAGGGGCAGAAACATTAGTCTTTTGCAGCGAACTGTAATGGCACTTTGAAAATTTGCATTACATATGCTTGAGAGGGGCATGTGTACGCAGGGTAAGGAGCGATCAAAGATTGCAGACTGCTCCATAGCCAGGAACTTTCGACGTACATCGAAGCGCTGAGACATTTCCATTCACCAGCTGGAATACAGATCGCGAGTAAAAAAAAAAAGATAAAAATAAAAAAATACTTCCAAAGGTCGCCTTTTCGTTTCGATTATAATGGGCAACTGTAGCAATTCGTTATAAAACGAACGCGCAGATAGCGCACACACTTTTGTCAGACCTCATAACAGTCACAGTATCTAAACTTGGGACACGCCCACTCCACAAGAACTCACGTCCAATAGGCAATGTGTGGTACGGTGGCCAGGCCGAGTGGGAAAATATATGGAAAGTCGGTTAATAAGGGTACACCACTACAAATAAATTCCCATATACAACAATGATAAATTCCCACACTTCACAATTATTTCAAAAATACTCACAACTCTCGCAGGTGTCCAGGCTGCGCAGAAAATGATGATCGACATGTCCCCTTTCAATTTTCCTTTCAATTTGGGGGGGGGGGACTCATGAGTTTTTGAGAAATTTTCACCAGAAGCAGGCCACCCTTAAATTTTTTTAGACCCTAATATAAAATAGACCTGAAACCAAAGATGATAAACAAAAAAACCGACATCAATTGTCACTTTTGCAAAAACACGAGTCAATTTGTTAACGTGATAGACGCATGTGATTGTAAAGGGTGTTCAGATTCTATTCACTTGAATCGATGCCACGAATCTAAAAACTGTGACGATTTTCAAAGTTGTATAGATTGCATAGCTTGTAATAAATGTGCTGATTGTGATAGCTGTTATGATTGCGCCCGGTGTGACAGTTGTATCGAATGGGTTAACTGCATCGACTGTACTTTCTGCATCAACTGTGAAGACTTGCAAGGCGAATCATTTTTAATATTTCTAAATGAGAAAAAAATGGCCGCGGTTGTTACAAAAAGACGAGATTTATGATGCCAAATGATCCCGGCCCAGGCTAAAAAAACCCGACTTGGACAAAGACCTGGGAAAACTAGGCTTAATAATTGAAAAAGACGAAGACCTATACAGTTATCTGAACGATCTCCCAGCAAAACCTATGCCCCAAGACTATCTCACACTTGTAACAGCGATAGAGGACAATTACACTCGTGCAGTAGCTAATGATCCATACAAACGGTTTCACATGATTCGTTTCAAAGATGATTCAATAGGCGTGGTAAATTGAGTCGAGAAAAAAATGAATTAATATTTTAAGACCCCAGTATAAAATAGACATGAAAACAGAGATGTCAAACCAAAAAACAAACGTCAATTGTCACTTTTGCAAAGACAATGTTGAATCAGTTAATTTAGTAGATTCGTACGGTTATATGCATTGTTTAAATTCAGACGGTTTATTCGAATGCATCTGATGCAAAGAATGCCACGGCTGCGACAAATGTAACGACTGCAGGAAATGTACTCAGTGCTCTACTTGCAAGGAATGTACAAATTGCGCATTTTGTTACAATTCCTACGGCTGCGAAAATCCAAATGCTTTAGACGGCTTTGAAGTGTGTTTCGAGTGCAGCAATTGTATCGAATGTTTAGGTTGCGTCGATTGCGTCTGCTGCGTAAATTGCGTAGACTTCAAAGGAATGGATCACGTGGCATTTGTGGATGGCCGACGCAAAAAGATTAGGTACAAATGAGAGGACGACTCACCGCCTAATGCCGGATCTAAATTTGACTCTGATTTTTATGAAATTGGGATAATAATTGAATACGACGTTGACATTGAAGATTTAATTAAAGTAGATATTCCTGAAGCTTCACCCAAAGTTTCACTAGACTCGGTTGGTTAACTGCCAAAAAACCTATTTTAAACTTCAGTTATACCTGGGAATAACTGAGGTTATTTTACGTCCCTTAAACAGCTTTTTATAAACAAATAACTAATTATAAACAAGCAATTATAGACAACTAATTACAAATATGGACGGTCATTACATATCACCATATATTAGCCAGCTTTATGAATTAATTGGCGTAAAACCTCCCCTGGAAGCGTTTTTATACCTCGTTGAAGCAGCAGTCTGTTACAAAAGAATTAAGACACGTGTCCTCACACCAACAGAATGGAAATAAAAAAATCTAAACTCGTCTGCCGCGATTGCGTACTAATACTAACTCGCATTTATTCAGACGAAGCAGAAAACGTAGGCGGTAAATATAATCAGCGTTTCGTTTTCAAAAAGCCTAAATTTAAAACGAGTAAAACATTTCAAGAATTAGATGTTAAATTAACCGTGGAACAAGCTGGTATCATCGAATATAAAGTAAACCAAGTTTTGGCGGCCAAAATTTCCGGAGGCAAGCCGCTACGAGCTTTAATTGCCGTCTGTTATCAAGACGTGACAAAAGAAACTGCGGAAGCCGTAAAAGACCTGTTTCAAATCTCGGAGAAATACTTTACCGATGCCGTCAAAAAGTTTAAACTTACTTTAAAACCTGTTTATAGTAAAATGGAGACGCACACTTTTTATTTGACCAAAATCAGGGAGACATTTAAATTAGAAAATCAAATTGACAATTAAAAGGCGATAAAAATATTAAAGTCAGAAAAGTAAGCTTTCACTCCGGATATTTCAACATTACAAAATCCTCCGAAATCGAACGGGAAACTCAAGGAGAAGGACGTCTTGCAGTAAGGGGACCCGAAGGAGTTAGACTGGTGCATGAACTACCTGCCAAACGTGAGGTATCACCTATCAACATAGATGTTATAGAAGCACTTAAACCCGCAATACCATTCACAGAATTAGAGGCAGACGATTTAGTTGTCTTTTATGACTTAATAAGAGATTTCCTTCAAACTAACGACTCAGGGAATCTAGCAGAATTCAGTGCCTCAGTTGACCAACAAGTAACTGACATAACCAATCAAATAAAACGTTATCAGATCAACGTTTAAGTTTAGAAACAATACCAGTCGAAGTATCGGATAAAGAGAAAGATG